CGCCATTGCTGCTGCTATTCCCTGGGGCTCTTCCCATGTAGCCCCCTCCTCTTCACCTTTACCTCAGGGTTCTCTATTCCCTCTGTAAGGGAACTGTTGCCCCCTTACTAACATTCAGTGGGGGGTGTTTTAGTTGCTAGCTCCCAGTACTAAAAAGGGGGAAGGGTCAATGGGGAATCAGGACCCTGAGACTGCCAGCCCCCAGGAATAATGGGGAGAGGCCAATGCTCCAGGTCAGCCTGAATGACAGGGTGGGCAGGCTAATCAGGGAGTCAGGAGGCCAGGGAGGTCCTGTCCTCCGTGTGAGCTGAATTTGCCTGGGTCAGACAGAGTGGGGCCGAGCTAAGGAGAAAGCAGGGGCCCGAGCTGAGCTGGGGTGTAGAGCTGTGCCAGATCCAGAGGGAGCAGACCCTGTCCTGGGAGCAGAGCTGCAGCCCCAAAGCCAGAAGCACAGCCCGGGGAGAGCGGACTTGCCCTGGGAGCAGAGCTGCAGCAACCAGAGCCAGAGGGGCCAGAAAAACAGCCCACAAAGCAGGTCAGTGCTGGGAGCAGAGTCACAGAAGCAGCCTGCAGAGCAGACCTGTCCTGGGAGCAGAGCTGTAGCAACCAGAGCCAGAGAAGCAGCCCAGGGAGCTGGAGGCAGAGCAGCAGCCGTGCTGAAGTAGAGTGGAGCTGAGGATGGAGCAGTCCGGAGCCGGGTGTTGTGACCAGCTGGGGAGAGCAAGGGGGGACCCTGGGCAGTGGGCCTAACACAGGGAGATGCCTCAGCCAGGAGGCTCTGCAGGCTAGAGTTGAAGGGGGATTGGTAACCCTGACAGGGCACGAGCAATGCTGGGAAGAAGGGCCCTGCCACCTAGAACCTGTGGCCACCACCAGAGCGAGTGTCCAACCCACAGCATCCCTGCAGTACAGCCTGGGCCTGAGAAGAAGGCCTGGGACTTACAAGGAACAGACTGTGAACTGCCCTGACATTCCAGAGACACTGTTTGTGATGTTCCCTGCCACAGAGCGGGTTGATGTGTTTCATTTAACCTTTCTCATTTTCCCTTATTCTTTTTAAAATTAATTGTCAATTAAGTAACTTTGCATTTGCTTTAAATTGTATGTAATGGTCAGAGAAGTGCCCAGGGCAGAGAGAGTACCCCAGAGTGGGGACACCCTATCCCCTGTCCTAGGTGACCACAGCAGGGTTGGGGGTCAAGCCCCCCAGGAATCCTGGGCCCAGCCTTGTTGGGGTTACGAGGACTCTGCCAGACAGGAGAGTGGAAGGGGAGTCCTCAAGGGCAGGGAGGCCACTGGGTAAAGGAAGTGGGAGCGAGGACTCAGATCCTTTCGCTAGCCCACTTCACCGGGGTAGTGCAGAAGCCAGGAAAGTTCCCCACAATAGCGGGACTATTCCCCTGCTTACACCTCCTTGAATGGGTCTCTCCCAGGATGCTTTACCTATAGAGCCTCAGCCTCTCCCTCTCTGGTTTCAGACAGTAACTGACCTGCTTAGACCCTGTAGCTCCTTTTATCTGAGCCTGCTGTGCTCTGATTGGCTGCTTCCTGCAGCCTTTCTAGGCAGGTCTGGAGGACCCACTTTCACTGCTCCTTCCTGGGAGCAAGGTGTGGTATGATGACAAGGCCTCCAGCAGGGGTCCTCAAAGGGCCTGGTACACCCAGTCATAGGGACAAAGATCTACATTGTATTAGCATGGGTTACGTTGTATTTAGGATGTGTGGTTCTGTCACATATCCAGCAGGGAACAATCTTTCCCTGACAGGGAGATGGATTAGAGGGGTTGATCCCTTGAGTTGCGGAGGCCCCATATCTCCCTTTAATTCCAAAGGGACCACAGCAGACTGCTGCTTAGCATCTCTGAAAATATTACCCTGGATCACCTTGCAATCCTTTGCCATAACTAATTTGTCTGTTTTTTATTAAAAACCTGATTTTACCCAGTTAAAAGGGCATGCCACTTAAAATACTGAGACAAGAAAAAATAAAGGGGAAAATTAGAGTAAAAACAAATTTTCTTCAAAGCCTCTAAATAAAATGAAGATGAATTTAAAAAAAACCCAACAATATCAGATACGTTGTTCACCAGCAATGAAGAATCACTTGCCAAATAGTACCAAGCAGTGGCATGTGGAACATGGCAGTTTCCCCTACACTTATAAGAGGAAATTAGCTGCTGTGTCTCAGAAATTATTGTTGCAACTTGTTGACAAAAGCTGACTTTGATGACAGCTACCATAAACGCCTTATTTTGTTCTAAGCTCCATTGAGATACAATGGAGGACTAATGAAAAAGAAACTGGATTTTTAAAAGATAGTTAATACCTTTAGGTACCAAAATAGCATTTTTCCCCCAGAACAGTGCCAGATACCAATGCTAGATGGTCGTCAAGAGTCCAACCCTTAACTTCCAAGTACAAAGTAAGACAGACTATATGTCCTTCCACATTAGCATGAAATGGTAATATAAAACAAGCCATCTGATACAAGGAAAATCCTCTCCTAAGATTCTAGTTTGAGTAAGTGGGGGGTAATCACTGTCAGCTGGAAGTGTTGGCTGGCCCTGAATATTAAAAATCAGTTATTCTAGGGGTACATCTACACAGTGATAACTCCCCCCCACCCCAACATCTACATAGCAATTTTACAGTCCAGAGCCCGAGCCCTGCAAGCCCGAGTCATCTGAGCCAGACAAGCCACAGGTTTTTTATCACTGTGTGGATACACCTCACACCCTGACTGTTTACAATTACATGGATACAAACGCTAAACACTGGACTGACTCTCCATAAACTGACAGCACTTTCCGTCTCTCACACTGATTTTATAGGAGCATTGCTTTGCTATAAACACACTGATTTCCTGCCTTTTCTAGAGCTGTTTTTTAACAGAAGTTTTGCAGCCCCATAGTAATCAGGAGTCAGCATATATACAGTGCTGGCTTCTATGAAATCATTCGCCTCCAGCTAGCAGCAAAGTAATAATTCAGAATATTTTGTGGACATTGTGTGTAATCTCAAAGCCCCTTGACCTTTAATCATTTGTTTGCACTGATGAAATATTCCCTCTGCTTCATTCTTTACAATGTTCCCTCTTGATTATGTGCTTGATATCCCTACAACATGTATAAAACTGATTAAAATGCTGCAGCTGATTTATCACCACCATAAACATGATCCAGTTCAGGTTCCTATTATTGCATTTTTTTCCCCTGACCCATCCTCTCCAAGACATATCATTGCAAAAGAGGGTTCCCAAAATTATTATAGTCTCTAGCCTTAAAACAGGAAATCAAACGTGGCCAAACATATATCGTAGATCTTGCCAGGATATCCTAGTGGACCTATGGTTTCACAGTACACAGATTTAATTAGAACGAGGACCAAAAATCAGCCCTTCTAATTATACTTGGCTATTTTAAAATACTTTTATTAATAAGGCCAAACATCCTCTTATGGAGAAGTCCTATAGATTTTAGTAACAATGATATCGAGATGGTGCTAGGGAAATTACTCTGCAAGTCTACAGAATTGGATTCTGAATGTTAATCTCTATACATGTTTTTTAACCCATCCTATAGAATTCCAGAGCAGGGATGTAGTTATCTGTCAATTTCTACAGCACTTTCTCTATCAGGGTGATCTGTGTATATTCCGTGCTTCACAGCTTGTGTAAGTAGTGTGTATTACATATGAGAGAGAAATAATGGGCATGATTCTGAGACATGTTCGGTGCCTCCCGCAGGGTGCAGAACACCTCCAGTTCCTGTTGATTTCAGTGGGCTTTGCAGGATTGGGACCCATATGCTCATTCTCTATCATTGTTCAACATGAAGGCAGGTGCAGTTTAGCCATGGCTACCTCACATCTAGATCACCCCCGGAGCATAATTATGAACCAGAAGCAGGGTTATAATTTTGGCATTTCATGGGTACGACTTTGCTAATGTCTGGCTCGCTTTTATTGAAATGCTGATTGTCATTACAGTGAAGTACATTTCCAACCAGGCAGGCAGTGATAACCAGGGTGGGCGGGGGGGAGGAGATAGCTGCTGACGTCTCTATCTCTCCTTACTGCTGCAAAAAAATATTAGTTACGTGTAAGTGGAAAGAGCTCTCTGCAGTCATTACATAGCATACAGTTACCACTTGGCTTCAACTTACTTTTACCCTCTCCACAAACACTCACTCTCTCAGCACGATACAAGTTTTCATATGGGCATTGCATGGCATTTTTATTTATTTGTGTGTTCAATGAGGATTAATTTCCACACTCGTCTTTGCATTATTGCTGATCTTTACTCTTTTTAAATGCACCCAATGTATGTTTTTCTATATATTGATCCAGTGAGTTTCCCTTATTTCTTACTCATTACATTTTTTTTTAAGATAGGAAGTACTGAACATTTTGGTAAGTATTTTTTTTAAATTATTGTTAATAGCTATGACGACCTTAGTGTCACTGCAACTATTTACTTTTATTTTAAAGCACGTAACACAACCCTTTCAGTGACAGATTACAATGAGGTTGCCTCTCTAGCCCATACACACACATCTATATCTTACAGATCTCTCCTAAATATGACCCAAAGAATTTATTCTGTGCACTGAGGAGAGAGAAATGCATTGTTGTCCGGATTATTTTTTTCAGAGGGTTATTTATTGCTATGTCGACCTTTGCTTCATCGCAACCCTTCACTTTTATTTTGGAGCACACAGCTCGAGTCGTTCATACTCGGATCACGTTGTGTCCCCTGATCACCCCATTTCTAATCAGTCTCACTGGAATATTACAGGGATTTATTATTTTTCACATATGGGGGGAGGTGGAGAGAGGGTCTGTATGGCAAAGATCGCAAAACATGCTTTGGAAAACATGCTTGGTTGAAATGTCATTAAAATGCCTTTGAAACAAGAGAGCCAATAAACTAGCAATATGCACACATACACAAAACTGAACTGATCAAGGGGAGAGTTTGCAAGCAGCACAGCTGATCTTACCTGGGTCTTTGTGGGGTCCTCCCTCAACACACTCCCTCCCGCTCCCCGTAGGAAACAAGGTTGTGGTTACTGCTGCTGGTGTCGATGGAGCAGGTACAGAAAGGCAGTGGGCTGATTGCAGTCCCTACTGCTGGGCTCTGGCTCCTGTCAGGGCTGCTGCTGCTGCTCCTGCTCCCGGTACTGACGATGCCAAGGAGGAGGAGAATGAGTGAGGAGGAGGAGGATGGTGATGGTGCTGATGCTGTTGCTATGGTTACTGAAGTCAGCGGCAGCACCACTCAGTGCAACAGCTGCTCCAGCTCCGGGTTCTTTCAGACACAGGCTGTGGCGGAGCTAGGAACAACAACAATAATAAATGCCCACTCTTCTCCAGCACTCACTTTCTCCTGTTCTTTTGATTATTATGCTGCCGCTGACACTAGTGTGGAGCAGGGTCTAGCGCTCTGGCTCTGTGATCAGGTCCATGATTGCAATGCCTGGCTGATCCCGTCGCTCAGCAGCATGCTGGAAGCAGGTTAAAGGGACAGTAGTAGCAGCAGCAGGAGAAGGGGATGGAAGAGAAGGAGACTTTGAAAAAAGGGCCCAAGACATATCCCCAACCCCTTTCTAGTGGGGCAGTGAGGGAGGAGAACAGAGAGAATTCCATAGAGTCTGGCTGATGGGCTGCTGTGTGAGGGCACAGCTGAGAGGAAACAGGTGGTCCACAGAAGTGCATGAAATACTGTAACAGAATGCTAAGCCTCTCAGAATTGGTGGGGCGAAACCTTGACCCCACTGAAGTCAATGATAATTTTGCCATTGACTTAAATGATGCAAGGATTTCGCTCATGGGGTGTCTGCATTTTTGTAACGAACTCACAAAAGGGACAATTTTCAAATTGTTGTTTTCGTGCAAAAACAGGACAATTTTCCAGGTAAACACGGGCCAATTTTCAAGCAAAAAACACAGTTGGAAGTTGACCTTTTCGTTTCCCTTTGAATGAAAATGGATTTTATATGGAAAATTCACATAGTCACAATGACAAAGGATAGACACTTTCTTCCCCAGAGCAGAGACTAGAATGACATTTGGGGAAAACATTAATGCATAGAGAATGGAGTTTGCCCAGCTCTGGGAATCTGCAGGACAAGGAGGGAGAGAACTAAGCTGAATGGGCTACTTACTGGAGATCTTATTAGCAAGAACTAGGACCCAAACGGCAAGAGGGGTGGGACTGCTACACATCAGAAGTTAGGGAGTGTTTGTCTTCAAATACAGTACAATATCACACGGAGCATACAGATGTAACCTCTGGAGTCTTACCCCAGCCGAGTTTTACACAATGTCTCACTTTCTAAGAAATACCCATTTTAAGCTCAAGTTTTCTCTACTCCATCTTTGCCCAAGGTGCAATTTTTTGGAAAGTTTGAGGAAAAAAGTCCTTCTCTGAGCTATGGGGGGGGGAGGCTGGGGAAGTTACATAGTTTATGCTTTTTTTAAAAAATGGTACGCACACATTTGAACAGGGCCAGGTTAACGACTGTTGATGGTTAGAAGCTGAAATTCAGTGTGAATGTGATAAATCAGTGCCTTCCCCTGCTTTGAAAAAATAGACTGAATTAAAATTTTCCTGTGGTTTGCTAACCTTGCTAGCTAAGCACAACAAAGCAAAGGGGGGTTTTCAAAAGTTCACTCAACGTGGATATTTTTTTAATTAAGTCAGGAGGCATCCTGCAAAAGAGAGAGTAACTGACCACTAGTTAGGCAAACAGGGTGAATACAGTCAAAAGGTATTAGCTCCTAACTTCTATTGAGGCTCCTAACTTTCCGTGAATGCTTCCTTTTGAGCATTCAGCTCCAATGTTCCAAACTGCTTAGAACCCGACTGCTGTCTCTTAACCTGCACCTTTGAGGCTAATGAACTGCTCACATGAGTAGTAAGAGCTAGGTTTGTTCCTGAACATATCACTCAGGGGCAGATCCTGAGCTGGTTTAAATCAGGGTATCGCCACTGGTTTCAATGGCACTACGCTCACTCAAACCAGCTGAGGATCTGGCCACTTTAATTCGCGACCCTGCTTGTAATACTGAGCCAAATTCTACTTCCTTCAATTACATGAATAGTTCCCCTGAAATCCACTACGACACTGATTCTCCAGGACCCTGCACCTCATGCAGTCATTTAGCCCTGTGTAATATGAGCTGGTGTACATTGCGACCACATCAGAATGTCCCAGTTACCTTGGTGGTGGTGTTGACAGTGCTCAGGTATAAACGTGCAACAGGGAAGAATCAGGCTCAAGCGTCTTTATGTTTGTGCACAAAAAAAACTGTGTAATGATAGAACATTATTAGAGAAACAGTATTTGATCCTGTAATTAAAGGTCGTCTCACAACAGAACATACTTACCTGACACCAGAGTTAAGGCTGCATGTTCAACCCTGACTGACTTTGGCATGCTTAATTGTGCATCCTTAACATTGCATTTTTCTTTTGCATTAAATATATGCAAAGGTAAAACAGTTGCAATTCAGTGATGGAATTAACATTGTTGTTGCAAGTCATTGCCTTTCCAAGAGGAAGACTACTCCTTGAAAGCGATTGCGTTCAAAATCGAAGAAATAGAATATTACAGAAGGTTGGGAAACTACTTTAAGAGCAGGATAAAATATAAACATCGTAGATCAAATCAGCTGCACTCAGGATAGTTAACAAGCAAAGAAACACATGCCTCTCTCTTGGAAGAGTGGGAATTTGAGTTTAGTTCCTGGTTCTGCCACAGAGCACCTGCATGACTTGGCACACATTGGCCCAGATCCTCACGGGCATTTAGGCACCTAACTGCCATTGATTTCAATGGAAGTTAGCAGCTCATATATCTTTGAGGATCTGGGCCTCTCTCCCTATGCCTCTGTTCCCTATCTGTAAGGTGGGGATAATCTTTTCACCCACCCTTTGTCCATGTAAATTATAAGCTCTGAAGAGAACAGACTGACTCTCACTATGGCCCAGATCCTCAAAGGTATTTAGGCACCTAACTGCCATTGATTTCAATGAAGATAGTGGCTCATATACCATTGAGAATCTGATCCTACCTGCCTGTGCAACCCTTTGTACTATGGGGCCTCGATCCCCGTTGGGTTCTCTAGTTGCTATTGCAATACAAATAATAAAATGTAATTAATAAATGAATAATTCATAATACTATGCTGTGGCCACAGATAAAGTGGCAGAAGCCCTTTTAGAATACATGATTATTAATTGCTATGGAAGTATATTACAGCACCTTATAGAGTGCAAGTAGGCAACTTTTATGTAGAGAAACAGTCTCTGCCCCCAATCTAATTTTGTACATGATGCAACCAAGAGGCAATTAAACAGTGGGTATGGGAGGACAGGCAGGGGTCACAGCAATGAGATTACATGGTTTCTCAGCAAAGGTGAATGTGTGTTCAGCATGACTGAAGAAAATATAGCTGATTCACTTATTTTAGGCCACTGTGGTAAAAGTGGCTGTTTAAAAGCATTTGACAGCCTTGCCAATTGGAGGGTAAAAACAAAAGTGAAGAGTGCCAGAAAAAACAATAATTCATTGCTTTATATATTATTAATTATTATTATTAATTTGTCAAACTACATATAATATTACCCACAAAAAATAAACTAAATGAACATTATTAATCACTGATAGCAAAATCAAGTCCTTAAAAGGTAGGAACCTTAATTCGGCCCCCACTGTGTATACATATTATGATAGTCTTTAAATACTTGATTGCATCCTTTTTACCCCACTGGACCCCTGCCTCATTCACTGTACAGGGTGGATGATGCTCACTTAATGTTTTCTCCTCATTGTTCAGCGTGAGGCCCAATGCCTTATGTAGTGCACACTATGCAAACCCTGCTCTGGAGAGAGAATTCTCCATTTCCTCCTGGCTTTAATACATCACTCTTCATGACAGTAGCTGAATGCTTCTCGAATTTATTGTCACAACACGTCATGAGATAAAGAGGTTTAATCCCCATTTTGCAAATGGGAAACTGAGGCATGGATTTGTAAAAGTGTCCAGGCATTGCTCTGCTCAGCATTGACAGCAGTGGGAGTTAGGCACCTCAATATCTTTGTGGATCTGTGTCTAAGTGACTAGGACAGCTAAGAATTGCATTTCCGGAAGTGACACAGCCATTTAGCCAGATCTTTAAAGGTACTTAGGTACGTAAAGGTGAGGTTTAGTAAGATTCTGAAGAGTGCCTAGGCACCTAACTTCCAGTGAAATCAGATCTGTCTCCCCTCTCAACTTATCGCCTACCCCGCACCTCAGTGGTTCTCAGTACCAGTCTCTTTGCCCAGCCATTTCCAGACTCCCTCCAGCTTGCACTCCTACTTTCCCTCTCCCCACCCCTCCAGCCTCCAAACCCAGTCTCCTCATTTCCTATGGCTCTTTGTCCCAATCTACTCCCCCCGCCTGACCCCTCTGGTCCCAGCAGGTCCAGCTCTTGTGCCCCCTGCATTTGAATCAGGCAACCTTCCTCCTCCACACTGCCTGGGGTCACTGAGAACACAGGAGATACAGGCTCCCTGCTCTCATTTCAGGTTCTCAGACTGGGACATCGATAGCTCAGAACTGCAACTGCAGGGAAAGTTCTTCTCAGCCCCAGTTTGGAGCATGTGGATGAAATCTTTGGGAAATTTAGCAGCTAAAATCTAAAAAGTCCCTACTGAGCATGTGAAAGGTCATTTTTCAGTGGCTTATAACTTGGCCCAATTTGGACAGATTTTCATGGAGAACAGCAGAAGGCACATCCCTGAAACGAAGGCAACTCCCCTGCCAAATTTCAAGTCGCTGCTCCACAGCACGAAGGCTCTACAGCTTTCAAAGAAAAGGTTAGCAGCCTTTTTTAAGGCCACAGACTTATTTTTCCCCTGTTTGCATTCTTGGAAACAGCGGAATCGTTTTGGCTGAAATTTCCCCTCCCCCAAGTCAGCCCAAGGCAGGCACCTGGCACAGAACATTGTAGCCCAAACGATTACAGTTTGGCAGAGTTATAAGAAAGTGAATACAGGGTCTTATAATGGTAAGGGTTGGGCAACCTTAATAAGTGTCACTACCAGTTCCACCTATACTACAGATTAAGTCACTAAACAGTCAAGTGGGCTTGTTTCTTTAAGCTTTTCTCCCACTGGTTCTTAACTTTTTTTTTTTTATGTTTGACAATGCACATTACAAGTTGGGATGTTATAATTATATTACTTTGTCCTCAAGTCGAGGTTTGTAAATAAAGACTTCAAACATACTTTGGAAACAATACTGCATTAAACCTCGTAACACACCCTCACAGAGCAAGCAACTT